ACACCAGGGATGAAGAAGATCACAAGCTTCAAGCACAAGAACATTTGGACAGATGAAACTCTGGACAGAGCAAATTCTTCTCTGTCATTCTTCAACAGATTTAGTTCAGAACAAGCTCAACATCCTCCTCTCCTGTACCCAGCCAAACAGACATCCTGCCCTCTTCTAACTCACAACTTTCCTGTCAAACCTCAGATGTTTTATTTTCCACTTCAGTCATGGACTCTTCTGCTTCTACAAGTTTGTCTTCCTCCAAATCAGGAGATGCTGCTGCTGCTCCCTTTGCCTCCGCCCGACATCTTTCTGTATCTAGAGGTCAGATGAAGAGGCCGTTGGAGAGACTGAACCGGAACAAGGCAGCATGTCAGCGCCAAAGTCCTATGCAATATCTCTTCAACTTTAGTTTGACCCAAAAGAAGGTTTGGTTATTATGGAAGACTTCCTGCCTGGTTCCGTTACCAAAGGAAACTCACCCATCACTGACCTGTTGCCCTGACATCCCACATTATGAAGGTCCTGAAGTTAGAGATGAAGATGCCATTATACTCCTCCTTCAACAAACTCACTGTCATCTGGCAGCACTGCGAGGATCATGTTCTTTGATTTCTCCAGTGCATTCTACACAATTCAGCCTGATCTGCTTTATGAGAAAACTCCAGAAGACACAGGTGGAGGCCTCACCAATCACCTGGATCTATGACTGCCTCACAAACAGACCACAGTTTGTGAGACTGAAGGACTGAGTGTCTAACCAGGTGGTCAGCAACAAAGGAGCACCACAGGGCTCTGTGCTCTCACCATTCATTTTCTCTCTCTACACTTCAGACTTCCAGCACATGTCTGACCTCTGTCAACTACAGAAATACTCAGATGACTCTGCAGTTGTCGGTTATATCAGAGATGGACAAGAGGCTGAGTACAGAAAGCTGGTGGACTGCTTTGTGTCATGGTGTGGGAACTATCACCTCATCGTGAATGTAAACACAAACAGACTGTAGATTTTAGAAGAAATAGTTAAATTAAACACCATTTCCATCACGGGAGAAGAAGAGAAGGTGGATGAATAATATAAATACCTTGGTGTTCATAGGGACAACAGACTGGACTGGAGACTCAACAGTGACATATCTAAAAGAAGTAACAGAACAGGCTGTACTTCTTAAGGAAGCTTAGGTCCTTCAGTGTTTGCAGCAAGATGCAGGATATCTTCTATAAGTGTGTTGTTGAGTGTCATCGCTTTTGCCATCATCTGTTTGGGCAGCAGCATCAGAGCCAGAGACTTAACTCAACAACCTGATAAAGAAGGCTGGTTCCGTTTTGGTTCTGTTCCAGGGACGACTGTGGAACCTCTGGAGATGACGAAGCAAAGGATTTTATGTAAAAATGAAGAACATTACGGATAACCACTAGCATCCTCTTCATGAGACTGTCATACAACAACAGAGTGTCCTCAGTCAGAGGCTTCATCAAAACACCTGTAATACAGCCTGCTATAGGAGATCGTTTCTGTACACAGCCATTAGAATCAACACTAACTCCTTTGAAGAAAATTATGCGATATGAGTTACAACATTTAATTTTGTTCTGGGATTAACAAAGTATTTTTGAATTTAATTATTATAAACTGGAAGACTGTTTAACAAAATTACTAAAATGATAATATTCATCATTCATGATGAGTGTATGTAAACTGACAGGCCATGTGAAACCTAGCTAGCCTGAAAATGAGAGGAAACACAGCTAACTGTAGAGAAACAACACTAAATTGTGTTACATTACTAATTGGAGCAAAGTGAAGTTCACATACAAACATGAAGCAGAAAGGAAAAAAAAAAAGGAAATTGTTTTGGGGAAGCCAAACAGGCAACCTCAGTGAGTTCATTAGCTTATTAACTAATTAGCTTTCAAGCTATCAACAACCGCGTTTATGTTCTTAACTCCTCACACATGTGCCATTAGTTCAGTTGGTTAAAGAAGAAGGGCTTTGATTTTACAAGCATCAGCTGGTTTCTGAAGATTTTCGGAATTAGGATGGTTCTCGTATTGAAATCCAGGTCAGTAAATACAAAGCTACTGATCCATTTTAGAAGCATTTAGCCTTAGATCAGGATTTGATCTTATTTTTCTGTTTCATCATTAGACCTCCTTTTGAGACACAAATTAAGTTCTGGCTATCCACCATCTGAAGATAAGCACATTGTGAACTTGCTTCAGATTTTATGAAGTGACGAAAACCGCAGTAAGTGCGGTCTCTAATTGTGCTAATTCTCCACCGCGTGGCACCGCTTTTTCCAATTCAAATGCCCCCAAAACAAAGACACCATAAATTGTGTCAACATCAAGACTGTAATTTTGTTAGGAGAATCCACTCCCTCCTCTAATCTCTTTTCTTGGTATGAAAATGTGATTACTGTTTGAACAGTAATCACATTTTTAAAAAAAGAAAAAAAAAGGCATGTTAGTACAATTTCAAGTTTGCTAGAAGAATTGATGCAGTTAAGTGAAATTGATAGAATTAAATTACTTTGTTCCACAGTTTTTCAGGTTTTCCCAGAATTTTAAGCACAGGTTTTCTTCAAGTTCAAGTTCTTAAAGCCGCAGTGTGTAGCTGTAGCGACACTACACATTGCAAATATTTTTTTTGACATATTTGTGGAAACTGTCACTATGTTGTGACAGTATGGTATGAAACAGATAATCTGTGAAAAAAATTGAGCTTCTCTGCCTTTGCCTGGCACTAACTAGAAACAACCAATCAGAGTCAGGGGGCGGAGAGGGATTAACGCTGTGAATCCCTCTCCATGTGTTGCTGTTCATTCACCTCTCCTCCCTTGCTCTCTGCTCTGCTGCAGCTAGCAGAGTTGATGCTCCACCATTAGCACATTTAGCAGCAAGTTCATGAGGGTGATTGACAGCGCTAAGACCCGCCTTCTGGCTCTGATTGGTTGTTTTTGGCCAGGAGTGGTGCATTTCTTCAGATGGCAACAGTAGCTCAGAGAGGAGGTTAATATATCTCAAAACATACTGTCACAACATGGTGACAGTTTGAACAAATACGGAAAAACATAATTTTTTATAAAAGTTACATACTGCAGCTTTAAATTCTAATCTCTTGAAGCTTTTACAACATTAACGCCCATGTTTTGAACAGGGTGTTGGGGGTGAGATTTAGAAGGGAAACTAAGACATCTCTCTACCCAGTTACTCTGATTCATCCCACGATGTCCTAAACCAGAAGAAATACACTTTTCCCTAAAAGATTTCTGAGTCTCCTCCTGGCAGAGAAACCTTCAGGGCAAGGTATCCTACTCAAACACCCAACCCAACCAAACTGACTCCTTTTCAGAGCTGCAACTCCTCACCCCATCTCTAAAGGAGCGCTCAAATACTCCACTGAAGACTCTGAACACTGCCTAATGACTGTAGATGGAAGCTATACCAGCATTTCATAGACAACATCTTCTCATTTTTGATGTTCAGCTCATATAAACAAACAAGAACAAATGTGACGCACCAAATAAGTCACGTCCTTTTGCACAGGCATGAACTGTTCATCTAGTCAGTCAGTTAGTTGTAGTTTTAGGGTGTAAAAGATTTTACGCCTCAATAGTCTGATCCAATCTCCAGATCTCACAACTCCAGATTATGAGACTATATACAGTAGATGGCAAATTCTCTTTGAAGACGAACCTCGCTCTAAAGCAGCAGAATTCAAAGTATTGTCACCCGGATTTTTCCTGACCTCCGATTCTGAGATGCCAGGAAGAATCAAACAGAACACTTGTTGACCTAGCTGTGACACGACTCCAGGGCCACCAGAGAGTGCCTTAATAAGTATTCTTAAACACGGAGGGGGATTAGCCAGATGGCCAGATCACTCTTTTCTCCAACCTCTCCCCATCACTAGATTTCCAGTGTTTCCCGACCCTGCTGAAACCATCGGGATTGGCTTCATTTAGGCTAGTGTTACCGACAGCACTATTTGACTCCAGATATAATCTTTATTACTTACAGAAATAAAGTCCATTAAAAGGCAAACTGTAGGGTCCCAGTGCTGAAAGGTTCCTGGAGTGATGCCTACGAGAGCCTTTAAAAAAAAAAGAAAAAAAAAAAGGATCCCTTTCTTCACTAAACTGAAAGCAGCTATTGAGGGCGCTCAGAGGAGAACACTGCTCAAAGTGGCGCTCGTTTAGTATGAGACAGTGGTGGTAGTGGTGGGAGGGGAAAAAACTGCAGAGGAGATACACAAGGTGTGATAAAGTTTTGTTAAATGGACTACAAATTGTTCACTGTAACAGGAGACTTTATTGACTTCCATTTAGTGTAGTTTCTCTGTTTGTGTTAGGATAGGCCCATAGGCTAAACAAAACATGTTCATTAAATTTTTTGCACAAAATGATTCTTGGATAATGAAGTTTTAGTCTGCTCAGTTCTACTTTGAGCTCTTTTCCGAATGAAGTTTCAGGTTTCATTCAGGGCTTCAACTTCTTGACGTTTACACTCGCACGTCAAAACTGTACATCTGTACATCTTCGAAAAGCAGAAGTGGAGCCTCATGCACACAAACAAAAATACAGTAAGTGGTTTCTGAAAGATAACACCAAAAAAAACACTTATCTAGCACAAAAACAAATGCATCCCCTTTAAGACAGTAAGTGAGAAAAGGTCCAAAAGAAGTCAAGAGTCAAGACAGTAGACATTGTATCGATTATCATTAATTTCCACTACTCCATTCATAAAATATATCTTCCATTACATTAAGACTAGGCTGTGCTCTTCACAAGGAACATAAGTCGTGAGAAAGTTGGTGACTATGCCAGAAAAGATCATAAACATGCACACAGAGACGCAAAAACTGCACTAAAAAATCTGACTTCAAATAACGTAGCCAAAATCATTTGTAAATTGACAGCTTATCCAAAGTGCCAAGCAGTGGCATGGAAAAGCTGGGAAGGAAGATGGACAGAGGAAACAGTTCGGGGAGGATAAAGGGAACTTACAGAGATAAGAGACTTTCAGCTCCAACACCCTCGTCTCACTTGTGGTTGACTTTAAAACGCATGAACGTTGCCTGAAAAACAGAGAAAACTGCATTTTACCAAAGTGACTCAAGCATCACAGATCAAAATGCTTGTTCTTTGTCATCACAGAGTTCCCTCGAAGAGTATGCATTCACCCAAATGATGATGAAGGAAAGCCATGAGATTCTACACACTAGCCATTATTTCACACCGGAGACCTACGAACTGAGCTCTGATAAAGTCTACAAACTCAAAGTGGAAAAACTTTCAGCCCACCTGAGAGGCCTTTGCGGCCGATGATCGAGACCGAACAGAGGACCAGTGAGAAGTTCACAGTGGAGCAAACAGAGGATCAGTGTGTTTCCTTCACAGTACTTTCATTGAACAAACAGCATCACATACTCTCATACCACGCAAGGTCTAACAAACAACGTGATTTTTGTACGCTGCTTTGAAGTTGGAAAAAATTGGCCCCAATCCTTAACGTAGTAAGCGATGCCTGATGTTTACCTTTAAGAACCAATTCCAGTGAAAGCAAGTTAGAAAAGGTTTCTGGTCGTTCGGACAGCTCTCTGTTCTTCAGCGGCCCGGCCTGAACAAACCACTTTGATTCCGAGGGCTGACCTGGGGTCGGCCTCAATTTGGTCTTGCACGCCCCGCGCGCTCACGCCGCAAGCTTAAGCAGGAGGTCACAGAAAACAAATAACATCAAAGAGGTCAAAACAGCCAACAAGGTTCTTTGAAAGCACCACGACACGTAACGGGCGGCTGCGGCAGAGCAGAGTGGCCCCAAATTGAGGAAGGATGGAAGATGGCCTTAATTGATAGTGGGAGGTCAGTAATTTAAAAAATACAGAGGTGAACAAGATAAAGAGGAACTTCATGGAGTGGAAAAAAGAAAGCAATACTTGCTCCAACAGAACTTGGCATCATGACAGCTCCTAAATGCGGCATCTAAGTTGTGCAAAAAGGGCAATACAAACATGCCTTTGATTCCAAAATTTGAGGCTAATTGAGAACAATGAAGGAAAAGGCAAACTCTGGGCATGTATGATCTTTTATTCATGTCCATAGTCAACCAAATGATTTTCTCTTGCATTTTTTTTCTCTCAGGGCACTATTAAGTGTGCACAAAGAAGTGCAGATAATAATGATAAATCATCTGCAAAAAAAAACAAAAAACACACACTTTAATATATACGAGTCTACAACACACAAGTTTAAGACACAGCTCCTTTTCGTTTATGTCCGACTGAATTCAAGGATTCGAAAGTCTCTTGCAGTCGGCTGATTTTGGGACGGATTTGCCAGATCCCAGTTCACACTCTGCAGCTCCCGCTGACCCGTCTGAACACGTTTCACACGACTGCTGAACCAGTTCTTCTCTTTCCCCTCCATTTCGCACCCGCTTGTCTGCAGATAGCAGGTCCAACACCTGGGGAATGCTGGGTAATCAGAGAGACAACTGGCTGCCTTATTGTGAAGAGGTGCCTCAAAACATGCATACCTGTTTAATATGCAAATTCAATGGAATTCTTGTGTAAGAGCAAAACTTTCTGAGAATTTTCAGTATAAACTTGGATCCATAAAAACTGTCAGTACTTGGATATGAGCTGCAGGTAAGGAGAAGAATCAGAGGGGGTTCAAGTTGGAGGGTTTGTGAGTTATAGTTCTTTGTCAATTTTTGGGATGTGCACGAAAAATGGACGAATGGTGTTTTCACACCCGATAGTCTGGTAGATTTGGTTAGCATGGGGACCAAAGTTGCAACATTTGTTATATTTTCTATTGGTGCGGTTCGCTTTCACACTGCACTGTTTCAATCGAACCCAAAACCTTTGAGGAACCTGTTCCCCTCCACACCTGTGGTGGCACTGCACCAAGAACCGCTGAAGGAAACGACACAAAAAACCTCAGCAGAAAACACCGAACGCAACTTCCTTCTTCACAAAAGCTAAACACTACACTCCCGGGTTTGTTTTGGTTGTGTTTACTCAGAATTCCCTGTGCTATAGTCCATTTCCTGGTTTTGGAGCACGCTGCGATACCCTTGGCTTTCACATGTGCATTTGAGAGTTCACTTTGACCTAACAGAGACATAGGTTTATAGGCAGACCAGAGTTCGCTTTTTTGGTCCGCCTCAGAGTTTATTTGTGCATTCACACCTCCCCAAATGAACCAGACTATAAAAAGTTTACTTTAAGCATCCTGTTGTGAGGTCATTTTAAGTTTACCAAATTATGCATCCAAGGATACAACAAGTACATTCATCTATGTACAATAATAGTGTACTAGGTATACACTTGTGGTTTACATTTTAGTTTATTGAAGTATATTTAAAGTAGGGCTGTAGTGATACACTAATCTCACGATACGATATGTGATATTCTGCTCACGATACAATATATATTGCAATATTCAGCAAACGATACAATTCAATACACTTTTGCGATTTTCTGAAAGATTTTAGAGGGACAGAGTGATTTTGGTGACATTTTGTGACTGTTATAGAGTTGGATTGAATTAATTTAACTGAAAACTAATTAAAAGCACCAACTACACAATCCCTGGCTCTGGTTGTACATGGACACAGACTTAAAGTCGACAGCTGGACAAAATAAATCAAAGTGGTGAGAAAACATGTTTCTTTTAATTGAAACAGTACAAACTGTAGCTTACATGCATTTATAAAGTAAATAAAGTGCACCAAGCACCCTGCTCTGAATAGTTTGATACCTTTTTAACCTTGACACTTAACATCTGAAAGAATCACTCTAAGCCTGATGACCTAATCACTCTCCCGGCGAAGCAAGCAGTGAGTGAGCAAGGTGACAGTTGGATGTTACGATACTTGTGGATGAATATCGATTTTTTTCTAGGAAAGAAAATATCGATATCTATCGCAAAATCAATATTATTACACAGCCCTAATTTAAAGTATGCTTATGAAAGGGATTAGAACTCGATTAATAAAGTCAAGTCAAATGTGTACCTGTTTCCGTTTTTTAAGGTGTGTAGTGGTAATGAAACCCAGCACACACTATTTACTGTAAACGTTTAAACTCTAGAGCGTGAAAGTTTATAACAGTTATCAAGACAAACGCGTGAAGTGAAAAACTTACTCTGCCATATTAAATGTAGCATGAGTCGATGACTTAACCTCAGTCTGTACTTGGATCAAGATATACTATTCCTAAACTTATCAAGTATAGTTTATAAACATTTAACTTCAAGTAAACTGCCTCATTTTAAGCATCAAATAAGTACGCTTGTAGTAACACTAGAACGAACTGCTTTTTGCTAAGGGTGGGTAAAAACTGGTAACAATGCAGAACAGAGAATCATCTTTTAGAAAGACCTCGATGTGACGTGGTGGGATTACAGATGGTACAGGTGAGGTGATGATAAACTGTTTTTTGTTCACAGCGGGGTCTGCACCCGAACAATGAATGCACACACTGAAACAACCAAATATGCATGGCCCCAAATGTCATCCTGCTGCAGCTGTCAGTGCCACTTGTGCAGATGGAGACACTCTGGGGTAAGAACAATGGAACTCTATCAGACAGAGGCTATCTCAATAAGCGCGGCGCAGCATGCGGCTCGGTGCTCCCACATTCAACGTTTCCAAATAATCATATGGCCAATTAAACCAAAATGAGCTTCACTTGACCCATAAATGATGAGCTTATAGCACGTGCCATCTCTCAGATGGCCTCTGGTAACGTCGAACATCGAATATTATTATTTAGCGCAGTTTTTTTCTTTTTCTCTTTCTCTTTCTTTCTCTCTCTCTCTGAGGGGGCCTGTAAGCAAGCAACACACTTCCAATAAACAGTTACACATTTCACACCATGAAACTGTCTTTTATTGCACAGGCTTCTGATTTTTTTTTCTCTTTTTTTTAACCAAACCTCATGCCCCGCCAACTTTCAAGACATTAGCGTTTCACAAAAATGAGTTTCTAAAATGTATTATTTTCCAACAGAGACATTTCAGAGACAATTTGCGCTGGACATCTATCAGTTGCTTATTTGATTTCTTGTTTGTTTCAGTTCTTGAAGAGTAACAGCCTAAATGCCAAGGACATATTGGTAAAGAAATAGCTCATAAACTTGTTTTAAGAGAGCCTGGAGGAAAAAAAAATATTTACTGCAGTTCTGTACCAACAAATCAAACCCAATCTTTCCGCCAATAAACTTTATACTTCTGTCAATTCACCAGAAATTCAAACTGGGAGTGGCGACCGCAAGGATTTTTAACGCTATCAGAGGCTTTTTTTTTTTTTTTTTTTTTTTTTTGGGGTTTTTATTGTTGGGCAACTTTTGCTGCTGCTAGGGGGCTAAAAGCCCAGATACAATAACTACACACCCTTATAGGACACATTAGGGCATAAAATGTGATTCTGACACCTGTTGAAGACTTTGTTTACTGTTGCTGATTAAAAAAATCTGAACACAAACCAAAGAGCGCAGAAATGTAACAGCAAAATTGCTTCCTGGGAAAGCTATCTAGGAGTTATATGCAGATTTAACAAGAATGAATGAGTAAATGTTAATACAGTTCTCAGGACACGAGAGGCTGTGCAGCCATTCACGTGTGAGTCACGGAAACGGGAAGATGCCCCACCTGCTGATATGCCAATAACTGTAGAGAGGCCATCCAGATACCAACTGAGACATATATTGCATCTTGTTTTTTGCAGTTTTAGTGACTTACAGATAAAAGTAAGTCACTAAGTTTTTTTTGGTGTAATTATAAAACACCAAAAAAAAAAAACTAATTTAAACCTACAACTGTCACTATGTTGTATGAGTACAGCAGCCATACTGGTGACCCAACTCGCTGCTCTCCAACTTTCCACGTCATTTTTTTCAGAAATTTAATAAGTGGTAAAATAAAGTAGGTTTCTTTTTTTTTTTAATAAACGTCACAAATTCGCACTGGCCACTTTAGTAGTTGGTTACTATATTTTTAAAGACACAGGTTTCTGTACCATAAAATACACACTCACTTTCAAAACTGGAAGATTATATATGTCAACTGCTGA